CAAGATTTCCATATGTTTATAAATCTACTTGATTTTAACCATTTTTAAAATTTAAAATTTTATAATTAGATATAAAAATAAATTTTGAGATAATCCTAATAACATTTTACAACAAAATTATATACCATGATAAACTTTGAATGTGCACCTTACCTCTATAGCTACGGATGCATCCATATGCCAACTGCACCCTTGTTTTTTTTATTTTAGATGTTTTTGTTGAGGATTAAGTGTACGTTGGTAGATGTTTATTTTTTTGGGTAAAAGATGTTTTGCTGGAGGGACTAAGGGGCCGTTTAGGTATCTAAACATATATTATTTGTGAAGTACATTACCAGCATAATATATTACTGGAGTAATATATTGCATGGAAATGAATTATTATTGTTTGGGTAACATCTGGATACATCCTGCGAACTAAGTTGCTACTGTTTGGCTGCATCTAGAATAAATTTGAAAAATATATTATTGTCATTTTGGCTTGCAAAAATTGCATGATTTTACCTATAATAATATGATGGGTTTTGCACAATTATTTATATTTTTTCTCCTTTAAGATAAAATATCAGTTGAAACTAAACCAAAGTATTCATGTACAAATCCCATAGGGGTGGCAAAGGTTTGGGTTGGGTCTAGGTCCAGCTAGAGCCAAACTAGACCCAGAAAAAAAAAAAAAAGGGGACTCAGACCAGACTGGACTTGGTTAGACCCAACCCAATTTTTTTAAAAAAATATTTTAAAATATTTAAATGTTATATTAAATATACACATGTATTATTTAAATACTATCACTAAAAATATATAGTTATGTTTATTTAAATATTAATTAAATATTATATAATAACACTATATAGGTCAGGTCCGGGTCGGGTCCACATGGACCCAAACCCTGACTCGAATAGTGTTCGGGTCCAATATTTGGACCCAGATCCGACCTGCTGGGGCCAATTGACCCATACCCAGACCCAGGTTAGGTCCCGGGTTGGGTCTGCGTTTGGGTCCATTACCGCCCGTACCATCCGAATCCACATTCTTCTTGAAAAACCTGGGCATAAAGCATTTTCGATGACTCCACTTAGCCATTTCATCCACCCTTGGGGCACGTTTGGTTCCCGTGAAATGGTTTTTTTTTGTAGGAAATTAATTTATTAGGAAATAAATTTCTTAGATATAGATTTCACTTTTTTTTTTTTTCGTCATGTTGGTAATACTATCTAGATTTTCTATGAAATTGTTTTTTTTTTCATTTGGTAAACTATTTGGGAATCTGCCATATTGGAATATGGAATGTAAGCTATTCTCTCTCTCTAGAAATCCAATCTCTCAACCTCTTTCTAAAAATCCATTATTTCTTTTTCTCTAGAAACCCAACATCACTTTCTTTCTAAAAACTCATCATCTATTTCTCTCTCTAAAAATCCAACATATCTTTCTCTCTCTAAAATCCAACATATCTTTCTCTTTGTAAAAATCCAACATCTTTCTCTCTCTAAAAATCCAACATATCTTTCTCTCTCTCTAAAAACCCAATATCTCTTTTTAAAAACCCATCTTCTCGCTCTAGAAATCCAATATCTCTTTCTCTCTCTAAAAACCCATCCTCTCTCTAAAAACTCAATCTCTTTTATCTATCTTAAATCCCATTATCTCTCTATCTAAAATTAATTATCTCTAAAAATCCAATCTATCTTTCTCTCTAAACACCCATTCTCTATGTATAAACCCAATATATATTTCTCTCTTTAACAATCTATTATCTTTCTAGAAATCAATTTATCTCTAAATATCCATTTTCTCTCTAGAAACCTAATATCTCTTGCTATCTCTAAAACACATTCTCTCTCTAGAAACCCAAAGTCTATTTATCTATCTAAAAATCCATTCTCTCTCTTTAGAAACCCAATCTCTCTATCTAGAAACCCAATCTCTCTATCTATCTAAAAACGCTCTATCTATAAATCAATCTATTTATCTATCTAAAAACCCAAGCTTTCTTTTTCTCTCTAGAAATCAATATTTCTATCTCTAAAAACCCAAGCTTTCTTTCTCTCTCTAGAAATCAATATTTCTATCTCTAAAAACCCAATCTCTCCTCTCTTCTAAAAACTTATTATCTCTCTCTAGAAACAAATATATATTTCTCTCTCTAAAATCACAATATCTTTCACTCTCTAAAACTCAATATATCTTTTTTTCTCTAGAAACCCAATATTTTTTTTAAAATTTCTAAATTTTTTTTTGGCTTACTACAAACAAGAAAAGTTTGAAGAGTACAATAAAAATAAATTAATAAAAGGGGGGGCTTCTTAATGGGCCAGGCCAGGCCCATGCCCAATATTTTCTTTTCGGGTTGGGTTGGGTTGGGCCGGGCTTTTATAGTTCATATTTGGGGGCGGGGTGGGATTTTTGATACACTTTTTGGGGCCGGCCTTACTAAGGGGGGGGGACTTACTGGGCCAGGCCAAAGCCCGACCTGATACCAGCTGTACTTACACCCTTGCCCCCTTATTATTTTGAAAGAAATTTGAATCATAGATATACATAAGTATGATTCCAATTTCTTAAATTTTTTATACTTTTTATGAAAATTAATTTCATTGGTAAAAAAATTTATCACTCTTATGACAAACCAAACATGAGAAATTAGTTATTTTTTAAAAAAATTATTTCTAAAAAATCATTTTCATACAAACCAAACGTTCCCTTGTTGGAATCCCAAAAATGGGTCCAAGGACGTTGAAACCAAACAAAAAAAAATGGCCCCACTTAGCCATTTCATCCACCACCCTTGTTGAAAACCAATGCCAAAGTCGTTAAAAACAAAAGAAGCCAAAGTGTGCATGAGAGAAGAAGGATGTAAACAAGAGAGGAAGGGTTTTTTTGAACGGACCTCAACTGAATGAGGTGCAGTTTATAATTAAGGCGGGTACGTGGGTATTCATATTACCCGTTACGGCTATGTAATTGATATCTTAGCCTCTAGATGTGTAATCAATTTAACTATTTTTTGAACAATTTTAGGAGTTATATTTTCATTTCCTGTATACTATGTCCTATCCAAATACATGAAATGACAAAATTTCTCTGTAATCCATTACCTCATAATGGTTATACGGGTACCCAAACGGCCCCTAAATGTACATTATACTAAACTGGTTGCTCCAATAAATGCCACATTCACTTGGTCATTTTTGGGACTTGTTTGCAAAGGCCGCTCAAAACAGGGCATCGCGTTAAAAGTGTAATCTTTTTATTTTTGTATGCTATGCTCCGGCAGGAGCATCTGCGCATCTACTCCCTTACGCAAAATGGGGGACGATTTTTTTTAGTTCAAAATTTTCGGAACTATTCAAGAACCAATATTTTTTTTAAAAAAAAGTTCAATTTTTTGAATTCGAGCTCTTGACTATATTAGAAGTTAGATATTACCATTCAAAAATTAGAGAGTGTTTGTTTAATATTGAAACATTATGGTTAGATCTCGCTCTTAATTGTTCAACAATCAGATAGTATTTGATCAATCTTAAAAATATATATTAGTAATATATAATTTATATATTAAATATCTTATTTATTATATAAATAAAAAAATATATATTATAAATAGTAAATGGTAAATAATGGTTCCGCATATAAAAATAAAAACACAATGATGCTTTGTTTTACCACTAACTAAACTATTTGATGGCAAATTTTTTTGTCATGAGATTTATTTCCATATGCATTACACACTAAATAAACGTACGAAACACAAATTTCACTTGAAAATATTTTTCAGAAAATATTAACCCACGATCCAAACGTACCCTTAAACAGAAAAAAAATTACCCTCGGATGATACCTGTGGGTTTTTAATATTCTACCATTTAACAATTATCTAGTCCGGCCTTTTGATTACCCAAAGTTTTGGAGTACTAGTGTCGTCAAAAAACCCTAAGGACCTATTGGTCATTTAGACTATTTAAGGCCAAGATATTTCATCCTTACCATACCAAGCTAGGGGCATTCCTGTTTTTCTCAATATATAAAGGCATTTTGAGGGCACTTCAAAAGTTCAAATATCTGGAAAACACAATCCACATATCACAAACTCGTGAATGAAACTTCTCCACCGCGACAATCATGGATATGAAAAAATAGATTTGGAGCTTTAAAAAACTTGGTATCATGTTTTTATGGAATATATTTTAAGTTTGTGTGCTTATGTTAGATTTATACTATTTTTTGAGTTTCAAATTTTTTCTTGTAAGATACAAAAATGGAATGGTAAGAAGTATATTTTGGCACGAAAACTAATAGGGCATTGAAGTGTAATTTTATCAAATTTTATAAAACTTAATTTTGGAAAAAGCCACCAAAAATCAAAAGGATTCTTTTATAATCAAAGGCCATCCATTTTTTTTTTTGAGAAATTTATAGAAATACATCTCATTTATCAAATATTTAACATTTTACTTTTTTTTTCCAATAAATCTCATTTTTCAAATATAGAAATAGATCTCATTTATTAAATATGTCACTTGAAAACACTTAAAAAATATTGTAAATTGAAAATCTATAAATTGTGTTACAAGATGCATTATTTTTAAATAATAAAATTCATTTTTTCTAATGTCCATACATTTTGAAGCTGAGATAATAAATTTGAAGGTTTTTGAGCATCAACACATTCTCTTTTAGTGAGTTTTTGAGATAAGCATTAATTTAATTATATAGCGCCTCACCCTCGTATAAACTTTTTCCATAATACTTTACTTCAGATATTTGATTTCTTCATGAACATCCAAGGGTATATTCGTCATTCGCTGACCTAAAAGGTCCCAATATTTTTTTTTGACTTTTATGTCCTTCACCACTGATTCAGTGGGTAATGGCACTTTTACCATAATACCCTTATCCATTGACCTTAAACCCTTGCTACGTAATGGAAGATATTTTTGAGGCTTCGTCTAGTTCTGAGGTTTAAGCCCAGTAGGGTTTTTGTGCTCTCTGATTCCTCTTCTCTCTCTCTACAGTGAAATGGATGTGGTCTCTATATAAACTCGCTACATTTTTAGTGAGAGAAACCATTTTGGGGGAGATAATACTGAATTCTAAAGAGATAAAACAGCTCGACTTCCTATCTCCATTTTCTCACCTCAAAACCGCCATTGCTTCCCCTGTTTACAACCTACGCATAGAGCGGTTATTCAGGTGCTACTTTTCTGCGACTTTCCCACTCTATAGCGTGTGTTTGATATGTGTGGGTTTTGATACCGATGATGTTTAGTTTCTCTCTCTTCCTGTCTCTCTCTAACATTTTTAGCGGCTGTTTTCTCATGTCCTTGATTATCTGGTCGAGTTTTTGCTCACGGAATTGTCTCTCTCTCTAAAAATTTCATCTTGACTTCAATTAATGAGTTCAATTAATGTATGTGTCTGTTTATTTGGGGGTCTTTAGCTCTATAATGGGGATTTAGTCTTTGCTTTTTTTCCAATTAGGACTTCATTTTAATGTAAGAATATTTGGAAATTTGTTATTTTGTTGTGGTATTAAGATTTTTTTAGTTCTTAGCTGTTTTTTTGTTTAATAAGGATAGTGTGGAGGAGGTAATATCATGGAACTAAATGTTGGGTGGATTCATATCGAGGTCAATCTTGTGATAATCATTTAGTTGTATGGTTAATCTCGATTAGTGAATTGTTATATTGATTGCTTAGAAATTGAGCATTGGTTTTTCTATTGTCTTATACTTTAGTGCTGCATTTGATTGTAGGGGCCTTTTCTATTTCAATTTATTCCAAAGTCCTATGCTTTGATAGGTCTATAAGTTCATTTGAGAGGGGGTTTTGATTCATTAGGATTATCTGGAAGAATAATTGTTTGGAGATGAAGTTTATTTCCATCTTTTTTCTGATTATTGAAGCATCTTCACATTAAAATGAAATAATGTAGGAAATATCATTGTTTGCTTGTTTCCCTTTTGTAAAGAGTTAATTTGATTTCCAGGTTTGAATCGTTGGGTTTATTTATCATAGATGAAGTGTTAACTTCAATTTCAGTATTCTTAGTTATTAAAGTAGCTGTCAAGGACAATTATATTTTCAAGAGGGCAATGCAAGTTTATGTTTGTTTGGTTCCCTTGCTGACAAGCAGATATGCAGCTCATAGAAGCTTATTGGATAGATTTATTTATCCTAATAAAAACGTTTTTATTTTGTTTTTTATTGTTAGCTATTGAAGTTGAAGTGCTTCTCCTTCATGTTGTTTGATTGTAGTTTTATTTCAGGGAGGAATGCGAAGTGTTGCTAGATGGGAAGGAATTGATTCTGCAAAGGTTTGACAGGTATGATCTGTTTTACCCTTTCTTTAGCTGGTTGATATGGTTTTTTTTCAGTAAACCGAATTATAGAGATTCTATGCTGAACACCTCTGGATTTCTTCTAATATCTACAGGCTAATGCTGATGAAATAGTGTTTTTATTACTCTTCCTTCAAAATTTGGTTAGATTGCCAGCCAATGTTTTTTATTTTTATTTCTTCGGATTACATGCTATTTCATTCCACTTCAGCTTGGAATTCGAATCCATACATGCGTCATTCTCAAATGTCTTGGAATTCTTATCCATTCATGCATCACTCTCATAGGTGTTTTTTTATATGATGCTATTATTTAACTCTCTAGAATTTTTTATCTTTCACTACAAATAATTAACTTGATGATGTTCCCTTGGATTCTTCCCGTTGTGAATATAATTAGGGAACTTGATATGTGATGATTCTTCCTGTTAAGTGTATATTAATTGATTTTGGATGTGTGATAATCAAAATTTACAGGCAAAATACTTGGATTTATGGGAAATGGCGGTGAAAGTTTGGCATCACAAAACAATGGGGGCAAACGAAAGTCCCCATTCCAAATTGAATCATTGGAAAATTTCTATACAGGTACTACTAATTATGTTGTCATAGTCTCTCTCTCTTTTTCTCATGTTGTCTCTTGTGTAATATACTTGTTTTTCTGCCCCCTCCAGACAGGCTGCCTCTAGTGCTCTTGCTCATGCTCATATTCGACATTTGATACAGTTTGAAGGAATCTTACATTGTTTTGTTTATGATGCAGAGGATAGGTACCCTTCACCAGAATCTATGCGTGAATATGCTAGGGCCCTGAGGTTAACATATAAACAAATACGTGGCTGGTTTAGTGATAGAAGGAGAAGGGATCGACAACATGGATTATGTTTTAGTAGTCGAAAACCACTCTCTAGCAGCAAAAGGGCACGTGAGTTGGATCATAACATGGAAAGCACCTTGGCCAAAAAAACAAACAATAGAACTTTTTTGGATTATGGAACAGAAAACAATCCTCTTTCATGTAATTCCATGAGCGCCTCTGCCAAAAAGAATAATTCAAATAGCTGTAAGGCCTTGGAACAACGGCAGAAGAACCGTGTGGCCCGGATTAAGTATAGTAGAAGTGGAAGAAAGCTTTTGGGGCATCAGTATATTATGTCTGCTGATCAAATTTTGCAGAGTGTGTTCCGAAAAGATGGCCCACCTTTGGGTTCTGAATTTGATCCTCTTCCTCAAGGCGCATTTGGTATGAATTCAGGTAAGCTTGGCATTTGGCATTTAATATTAATTTTAAAATGCCATAATTTGGTTTATTTTTGGGATGATATTCTAATGTCTTCTAATTTGGTTAGATGTGGGAGGTTTCTATTGCATATGTAGAAAAGACAGAAGAACCCCTAGTTCTAATGGTTAACCATGCTGTCTTGACATGAAGGTTATGTGTTCTTTTTTAAAGGAGGCATGTGAAAGTCCTGAAAAGCAAGGGGCTTTTCACAATCCTCCGAAAGTAGAGAGTGCATGGATTCCTTTTTTCTTTTGAAAGTTAGTGAATGGTAATGTACCATATGATATTTGCTTTTTCTCCTATATGTTCATTGGCTAAATAATGTGATGCACCAAAATGTAGTCAAACTGTTAGGTGACTTGGCATTATCATGCTTTCTTTCATATGCAAAGCATCTAGGATGGGAGTGCTTGAGTCAATACCTTATTCTGGAATATCATTTTAGTCTCTAAATGAAAGATGGTATGCATAATCTTGAAGGTCCATTGTAATTATTGGAGAGGTCAAAACTATAGTATCATTTACTTCTCATTGAGATTACTTTTGTTAGTCATGATTCATACGTTAAATCTGTTTAATGGAAGAAATTGGTGAATATGATCTATGGGGCTACAGCTTCAATTTTACCTACCCATTTTCATGCATTTGAATTTAGGTTAGGATTGCTGATGCGATCTCTTTAGCATACTTGAAAAGGAGGCAGCTTAACTGCCTCTTGAAAGCTAACCTCAGAGAAATTCAACCAAGGGAACCCCTCAAAACTAATTGGTTATAAAAGCAGGCCACCTGTCAATCTTCCATTCAGGCGTTTCCCTAAATGAAACTAACCTTGATGGGGTGGTTTATTTTTTATAAAGCAATCCAAGAAGGATCTAACATTGTTATAATACTAAACAGTGGATGAAATTTTAAAGTTCATAGATACCCTTAATTCTCTAAACGTGTTAATGTGTGTTTTTGAGCTTATTTGTAACATACTTATCAAAATTGGACCAAACCACCGGTCCAACCGATCAAACTTCTAAACTGTGTCTCAGCCGGTATGATTCAAAGAAAAGGGAAAGATTTCTATACTTCTCTTACTGTATAGAAGTTATATACTCCCCCCCCATCCAGCCGTCCAATTTAGATTAAGTGAGCTACTGACCGTTTGATATAGATCCGACGTCTCAAAGTATTTTATTTTTAATTGTTCTTATACATTAGATTAATATAAATTTTGGTATGTGCCATCACCTCAATGGAGCCTTTGAATTTTCTTTCTTGTTCTACTTAAATGGTTATTCCCACTTTGAGTTGCATTGGTGCAGTTCCTATTTTGATTTTCCTTGTGAATGTTTATGTTGCCAGAGTCAATCAGGAATCATTCTGCTTGTCAAGGCACTCAGAGAGGGTCAAAACGGAGAAAGGTAACTATCATTTTTTTTGTATTTGATTCAATTACAACTAATATTTATATCAGTATGGTGCTGCAAGAATCATGTTGATAAAATTTTTGTTCGATGAAGTTGTGAATTTTTTTCAAGTGGTGCTGTTATGTTAGACTGGAATGTTTAGGATGATCCAAAATGTATTTTTTCATATCTCATTTTATTTTATTTTATTTTATTTTGAGAGTTCGAATAAGTTTTTTTCCCCCCTTATACAGGTTTGTGTCAATTCTGAAAGAATGTTTAGGATATCTATTTTTTCTTATCTCAATTTATGAGGGTTTGAAAACGTTTTTTTCTCCTTTATACAGGTATGTGTTGATTCTGAACTGCCTATGCTGGACTCCCAAGTTCTTCAAAGGAAGAATGTCCCAGCAAGCCGACATGGACTAGGAAAAGGTTTGATGTCGTTACGAATATTACGTAAGGATTATTCAAATGGTAGTGTTTCCATTTCGCGCATCCGAAGGCGACAAACAATCCGCCGTCAGAAACCAGTCGAGGTATGCAATTTTAATAAACTGTTGTTACCCAGGGACAGCAGCATTAAACTTCCAATGAAAAGCTATCTGTGATTATCAAACGCCTAAATTTTTTCTTATGAAGATTTGTGTTCTTTTGAATGTTCCTTGTAGAGAAAAAGAAGTTCACACGGTAAATTCCAGGTCCAGGGTAAAGCCAAGTCGGCTTCATGTAGAAGAATGGTAATGCTGTCCGTGCAAATTTTTTCTATATTTGTATTGATAAGCATAGGGTTTAAAGTGGACTGGGTGTCTTTTTCTCAGTGCTCGAAATGCTGTCTGAGGTAATGTCCTGTCTTGGCAATTTCACGGAAATTTCAGGTCCAAACCAATCAAAAGAAGAAAAACCATATTAAGAGCTACTTCGCGAACTGCAATCTTGCTCTTAAAGGACAGCTCTCGGTTGAACAATTAATTGATTTTTCAGCATTACCAGATGACGAGGAGCTTGAATTGAGAGAATTACGTGTCACATCGAACCGATTGGCTTCCTCGGCTCATCTGACTGCAAATTGTAATCATGGTTGTGCCCTTTGCAAAGGTTAGGTCTCTATAATTAATACTTACTTTGTAGAGATTTGCATGTATCTGCAAATGCATGCAGACAAACCATCAAAATTGATATGGGAATTGGTGATTTTCTTTAATCCTAGTGACAAAGCACCTTTTTCTTTTCTCCAGACTTATTGGGAAGGTTTCCCCCACACTCTGTAGAGATGAAGCAGCCTTTACGGGCAGGCCCTTGGGATTCTTCGTCGGAGACGGTTAAAAAACTATTTAAGGTATTATGACATCTTAAACATGTGTGTTTGTATGTTCTGTATATGTGTATCTGCATGCATGATTTCATTTTTGAAATTATTAGTGTTATTTGAATTAGGATAGATCTGTATTCTGTGATTATCTCTTACTTTATTTGTCTTGGGCTTCAAAATGTCCAAATGAATTTTCAGCACGTTATTTATGAATCATGTAAATTTAAGAGAATTTTCTTTTTAGCGAGTATACTGTTCTCTAGAGGAGCAAATTGTGCATTTGCTTATTGGGTAAATTACTCGTTAGGATTTTCTCGATTCAAATCACTAGATGAGCAGTTTCAAAAAAAAAAAAAAAAAAAATTCGATGGTTGTGTTTAATCCTAGGGCATGGTTTTTCAGACACTTCTAAGTGTGATTGCAATATATTATTATTATTATAATAATAATAATAATAATAATAATTAGGTTGGTTGCTAGTTTGAGTAGGTCACATCCCTAAAATGATGGGCCTGAAAAATACTCCTAGCTAGCGTTTTGCCCGAGGGGGCAAATGCAGTTTTTGCTCCTTCAGGTGCATATAATCTTTTCAGATTTCTTTTAGTTGCTCTATTCTTGTTGCTGTACCTTGAAGTGATGACATCCACTCCTTCAGTCATGCTTGCACCAGCATATGTGATTCCTGACTTAGTTTGTGGCAAGAAGTCCCTCCTGAGAAGAATAGGAGCTCTTTCTGCCCCAATTCACATATCATTTCAAATCATTTCCTGATTCTCATAATTTCTTTCGTATCCCTCCTTCTGACATGGCATTTTCCTTATTATGACATCTCTTTGTCTGTTCAGTAAAAATGAATCAATTTTATAAGTAGTTGTGTTGATTCCTTTCCTCTGCAGTCCTGTTAGAGCTGCTGCAAGGGGTAACATCATTGTTTCCCAACTATGCAATGTATGCCATATGGCAATATTGATTTGGGCCGGTCAACTATAAATTTGTAATGAAATGAGATTTGAGTTTGTATTTTTTGTATTTCTTGATGTTGCCATGTTCAGATCCTAGCTTGCAAACCTGTCCTCTTTTTAGACACTTTTTTTTTTTTTAATTGGTCCCCTCTTTTTGAGCCCATTTACCATCTGAACTCAGTATAAGGTCTTCAGTGTTTTTGGCAAGTTTTAGCAACTATTAGAAGTCACAAGATTTGTATCAGAATTGTGAACTTTGCTGGTGATGATTTTTGTGACTTCCATGTTCTTTTTCAATAGCTATTTTGAATGAAACCTTACTTCTTGCGACTTGTGCAGGTGTTCAAATTCTTATATGCTCATGCTGAGGTGTTTGCTTTAGGCCAATTTACACTAGATGAGTTTGCTCAAGCATTCCATGACCAGGTATAATTTCCATGACTCCATTCAACTATCAAGGTCTAGCTTTAGCCTCTTATGGCCATGCTTTGCATTTTAGTCTTTCAAATGTTTTGTACAGTGGCAACTTTCTTCAAATTCCAGTACTTCAGCTATTGTGAACCTCATGTGTCCATGTAATATGTGTAGGGGTGGCAATGGGTCGGGTCCAGCGGGACCCTTACTCAGACCTAGACCCGTATTCAGGTCCAGGCTTTGGACCCAGACCCCGACCCGTCAGGTCCAAAAGTTGGATCCATACCGGTACCCGTTGGGTCCTGGTTCTATCCTGTCAGGTCCCTGGTCTGGTTGGATCCATTGCTACCTTCACTATGAGCTTCTTTTTTTGTAGCCTAGAATGGAGAACAACAGAGCATTGATTTTTGAGGGGTCGAGAGAGAGAGAGAGAGAGAGAGAGAGAGAGAGAGACATTACAAGATCGT